GATTCATTTAGTCAGTTGAAATTGTTGCCATGTTGAAACTCTCTCTCTCTACCCCTCTTAAAACTTCAAAGGCCTGATCCAAACATCTCCACTTGCAGCAATGGGGTACAGATTGAAATCTGTCCTTTTGCTCTTGCTGAACAAATCACCAGTCAATTGTGGGATAAGGAAGGGGATTCCCCTGCCTAAATTTAAGGAGAATGAATGTTGTATGTTTCTCCACCACCCCGTTTGATCTAAAATCCATGTACAGAGGCCATACCTAGCACACCTGAGGAGGTTTAGAGATGCTGCAAATAGCTATACTTTTTCTCCTCCAGAAAAGCTGCTTATTCTATGTTGCACATAAGTGCCCTGAAAAGGCAAAAGGTTTTCATGTATTGTTGATTTGTCAAAAAGAGAAGCCTCCGTTGCAAATGTTATGTGCAATTAAGCCAATTGTGCATATGATGTGCAATAATGATTAAGATTTGAATTATTTTACATTGCAGTCTCTGCTTTCGACAGAAGAACAGGAAACGTAGCTGCAAATAATATATATGCAAATGATTTGGATTGCTTTACAAATATTGCTTGTCTGCTTTGTTTATCTGTTTATTTACTTGTCATTAGACTTGTTGGTCGCTTGTTGCTGGAAGGTTTTCAAGCGACTTGCAACACGTTTAAAAAGGTGAACCTCAATATATGATACCATCTACAAATTACTGCAAGAAACACCTATCATTAATTAAGGTACACACACAGAGAGAGAGAGAGAGAGCCCCCCACAGCAAGATTTGGTAGCACACTAAAACTTTTGTGGAGAAGTGTCAATCTGTACAAATGCAGAATATCCCTATGAATTCTATTCTCAATAAGGATGTGAGAAATATTTAGATATATGCAACTTGAAAAATGTACCTATGACAATGAGATTTTAAATGTTGTCACTCTGTAGGTCAGCACCATCTCTGCTTTAAAGTATTTAGTACTTGGTAAATTATATACCACTCCTGCCAGCCTGTCTCTAGAGTGGTACTTTTTGTATATACAGTAGTATCATAATGAGGTGGTTGAAACAAATGGAATAGTGAAAGGAATTCAATCAACTAACTGAATATGTGAATTTTAAATATTTCAATGCTAGTTTTCTCGCCACTTGAGAGAACATCTAGTCTTACCTCCTCATTTAGGAGGACAAACCAATGAAAAAAGGTGGTTTTATATTCTATAAAATTATATTATACAATAAATCATGTTTCTTCATCTGGGCGACTTTACAAACCATCAATTGTTTATTGATTTGTACAGGGATGTTTTGCGGTTTGGTTTTATATAATGTTCATCACTTTTGGTCTTAAGATTAATGTGTGTGGGTTGTTGTTGTTTTTTTTAAAAAAATATCCAATAGATAAATAAAATTCCAGGAGTGATATAAAGAATCTGTTTTAAATTGGAAGCTGTTTTCAATACATTCTGCAACTGGACTAGGATTCAGTTTTGCATGGAATATTTGGGAGTAGCACCTATTGACTCCAGTTAACTGAGCTGCGGAGGAAGAATGCCATGCTGTTAATCTTGTTCCCTGGGGAACTGAAGCCATTTGACTTCAGTGAGCTACGCCACTCATGCTCCCTGTTTGGTTACTGACGAAGACAGGTCTAATAGCAAACATACTTTCAAAACTATAACCAAGATAGCAGTTGCAAACGGGTTACATGGAATCATGGCTGTTTTAGTTGCATTCAACTTTGTGGAGAGGAAGCATGCTAGACCTGACCTGCCCCCCACTGGCCCTACCACCTTTTGTTGTGGGAGTGGCTGTCTATGAGTGACATTTGTATCTGTTAAGCATTATAGAGTCATTGCACCATGTTTCTTGTAGCATAATAATATCAAATTGCTCAAAATAGTTCATCATTCTGCTTTGAACACCAACCTGCTATGTTCCATGACATCAGTTTTAGCCCCAGTTCCTTTAAGGCTCTTTGATTGTCACTTCCACTTTGTCCAGGTACCCAATTTCATCTTTAAAAAAGCTTCCATTCCTCTTATCAGTGGGAACCCATTCAATGGTGTTAGTATCCTTTTTTTATTCTCGGAAGAGGACTAATAGCATTTTTGGGGCTACTTAATACATACATACATACATACATACATATTTCATCTATTAGCCATTTCTTGATTACTCAAAATCTGAGGCCACTTTGGATGATACTGCAGTGATTGATCTGAACTTGTTTGTGGAGCAAATGCACCAGTCCTGCCTCTACCATCACATGGAAATGTGTTGTCCATATAGGGCCTGAGTGCATACAAACCAGTATAATTAATGTCAAAATCACAGTCACTTTCCTAACTTCTAGAAACTGGCAGTGCAACTCAATGCAACTCATGCATTCTTGGTTCCTCCCTGCATTGGTGACAGGGGGTGGGATGTCCACCAGCTCCATCTATAAGGCTAGATTGTTCCCTTAAAGCAGTGTTTCTGAAACTTGGGTCCCCAGCTGTTGCTGGATTACAACTCCCATCATCCCTGACCACTTGTCCTGCTAGCTAGGGATGATGGGAATCGTAGTCCAACAACTGCTGGGGATCCAAGTTTGGGAAACGCTGCCTTAATGTATCATCTGAACAGGTCCTTGATGACATACGGCTAAATGTGAAAATATATTACACTGAGAAACATTGCATTTGAAGAGAGAAGGAGGCTAAAATCTGGAAGAAAGCCTCTAAGTAATTCATGAACGAAGTAGTGAGCCCTCTTAAAAATATGGAGGCATAAAATGTTTTTCATGAATATCTCTCTTCAGGGCTATCCCTTAGGTTCTCAAGCTGGACACTCAAAAATTGTACTTCCCAATAGTTATAGATATGAAATGGTCAATGGAACAATATGTAATATGTAATTACGTCAGTTGGATATAAGGAGATAGACAGACAGATAGATAGATGATAGATAGATAGATAGATAGATAGATAGATAGATATAGATATATATAGATATAGATATAGATATCACAAAACGTTGAGATTTAAAATGTATTTTTTAAAGACTAGTGATTAATGAACTGGCAAAGGTACAGGTTCACAAGGAACATGTTGCTACCTCTGAAATATAAAATAAATAGAAGATTTGAGAACTTGGGGATGCTTAGAGAATTGTAGCAAACTCTGCCTCAGGAGAAAGCAAAATTGGATTCTATGGCTGTATTGGAAAAAAATGGATATCAAGAATATTAAAACATGGATATGAAAAGTTTAGCTCAGAAGATGATGATTCCATTTTCTTGCTTTATTTCTCTTACACACACCTCATAAAGGATACAGCTTTTCATTAATTGAAAACTTCCTTACAAATCTAGACAGGTATAAAATCTATGAGCCACAACTTCTGTGCCTATACTTGTATATATACAGCTCTAGATCATTGGACAAAACCTCTGGATTATTTTTTTCTGGGCATTTTGCTAGCAGACAAATGAGGAACTTGTAAACATTAGCCAAGAAAAGGAAAGGAAAGGAAAGGAAAGGAAAGGAAAGGAAAGGAAAGGAAAGGAAAGGAAAGAAAAGAAAAGAAAAATAACAATCCACAGCATATCTACTAAGAAGTAAGCCCCACTGTGTTTAATGGTGCTTTGCTCCCAGATAAGTGTTTACAAGTTTGTAGCCTGGCAGAGCAATACAAACCCATTGTTGCACAGGGGGAGGGTGGAGAGTTTGAACTGGGCAGAGGTGCCCCTTTGCCTAGCCCTGCCAGCCTACACTAGCTTTCCATTCCACTGGACCAGAGTCCCTTCTCTTCCACCTGCTGAACAGGTAGGTGCAGGTGCCACCTGGAAGCAAGGAAGGAACACAGCTGAGTAGGCCTGGAATCCAATGGATGGCATGATTGCATCAGGCTCAGTCCCTGCACTAGATGTAGGCTGATGCAGAGATCTGCCTGCCTTCCCACCTTCCACTCCAGCTGCTAGCAGCATTAGCCTAGAATCTTAAGAAATCCAAATTGTAATTCACAGATTCTTATCCTATATATTCCATATGCTTAGCCTGAGGTTGGATTCATATATTATCTCCTCGTCTATTGCAGATGGGACCACATAGTTAGTTCACTGCAGAAGTGAAATTCATAAGGAAGGTAATCCTAACCTCAAGAGTATGACCAAAGGAGATTCCTTCCAGATAAGTTTACATAGGATTGCAACTATTAAACTTGACTCCCATTACAGTACATTACATTACACCACCCCACATAATCAAAAGCACCATAAATTCTGCACTTCACATGTGACATATGAGTGCCTTTTCATACCCTGTGTCTAAAAAAGAGGTGATATCCTCAGTTTCTTCAGTGTACATATTTATTTATTTAACACAACATTGTCATTGTCACCATCCTCTTGATCAATTGTAAGTTTGAAAATGCTTTTCCTTTCACATAAGATTCGAATTTAAGAGAAATTGAAATGAGGGGAATGCATTTATCTTATCCAACAGCAATGCAAATGATGCTGTAGAGTTCTGTGGCTTTTCTGCAGTTATCACTGCATTGTAACCAATATTTCAGAAAGGTGTATTCTTAATAAAAAAAAATCACTAATGGATTTGCTCCTAACCTATGGCAACAGTGCTGGTCAGTTGCCTTTGGTATCACTTGTGTATGCATTGAGCTGATAAGTACTGTAGTTCATTTTCCTCTTGGGCAAGCACAAGAGTGGGCTTTTTTCTTTTTTTTTAAGAAAGGAGAGAGAAAAACCTTCAGACTAATAATTACCTTAGGTTGAGACACAAATAGTGAAATACACTTGATTGCTTTCCAATTCTTAGTAGAATTTAATGAAATATACCTGCCTGTTTCAGCAAGAGGGGAGGGGAATTGTTAGCCATTTCCCCAGATACTGTTAATGTAACTATCTGAATTCCTTTGAACTGTGTTACATTCAACAATACTAGTGTGATAATGTTACAATTAAAGAAAAAATAGGGGTAGAATAATGGCTATAAGTATACATGTATATATATGTATGTGTGTATGTGTGTATATGTGTATATGTGTATGTGCATGTGTATATATATACACACATATATATATATCACACACACAGAGAAAGAGATCAGATCCACGACCCGCTTTTCCTTGCACCTTCTTTCACGCCCTGTGCTGTTCCATAAAATCTTCCAGATCTCCTGAGCAGATTTTCAGGATGTGCAGGGGAAAGAGGGAGCTGAGTAACTACAAGCTATAATGGCTATGCTTTACCTTCACTGCTGGAGGCTGTATCCCTCTCAATTCCTGTTGCTGGGAATTGCATGTGGGAAGAGTGCTGTTAAATTCAGGTTCTGCTTTTGGGCTTCCCATCTGGCTGGACATCTGGCTGGCCAACTGTGACTGTCAGTTTGCATTTCTTAGTACAGAAAGTATTGATCTGATGTGTAGAGATCATTCCTATTCTAATTAATTCAAGAGGGTTCCTGAAGCTTCTGTGTGTGAAAGAAATAAGCAGAAGGTTCATGATGTTTGGGTTATTCCTTCAGAGAAGCTGAGTAGAGCTGGTTTAAGCTGGTTCTCTTATCTCTTTATGTCAATGTCATGCTGACTATAATAGTGAGGCCAGAAGGAGCCTGAGTTTTACTTTCTCTTTCTGACTCTTTTCCTTCTGGCGTGGTGTTCTGTACATAGTATGCTTAGTTGTTAAGGTTTAGACATATAATAAGTTATTGTAAGTTTAAGTTATGTCTGCTGCAACTGGATTTCTTATGGACAGGGCCAATCCTGAATGTATTGGATTTGTGACCATTATGCTCATTTGCCTTCAATAGCTGTAAAGCTCTCCTGGGCGAAATATTAATTGCCTCTGGTCCATTTGGCGGGGGACGGGGGGCAGTTTTTACTCTGCTAACTATACATTGGAGTCTTGCTCTGGATCAATATTGAGTAGAATTTCATGACAGTGACAACAGATGCTAGACTAGATATGACATTTAAAACACATGTTATCTCAGTGATCTTTACAATAAACTTGTATGAAATATCACTTTTCTTTTGCTGTTAGAGAGACACAGGTGGCGCTGTGGGTTAAACCACTGAGTCTAGGGCTTGTGATCAGAAGGTCAAAAGTTTGAATCCCCACGACGGGATGAGCTCCTGTTGCTCGGTTCCTGCTCCTGCCCACCTAGCAGTTCGAAAGCACATCAAAGTGCAAGTAGATACAGTGGTGCCTCGCAAGACAAAATTAATTCGTTCCACGAGTTTTGTCGTCTTGCGATTTTTTTCGTCTTGCGAAGCACGGTGTCGGGAAAGTTTTGGAAAAGCTTCAAAAATCACCAAAGTCTTTAAAAACCTCAAAAAGGCTACCACACCACGTTCTATGAGTTGTTCCTCGAAGTCAAGTCGCAACTGTATTAACGGTGTTAAGAAAAGGAAACAAACTTGCAAGACGTTTCCGTCTTGCAAAGCAAGCCCATAGGGAAAATCGTCTTGCGAAGCAGCTCAAAAAACAAAAAACCCTTTTGTCTAGCGAGTTTTTTGTCTTGCGAGGCATTCGTTTTGTGAGGTACCACTGTAAATAGGTACCGCTCCGGCGGGAAGGTAAACAGTGTTTCTGTGTGCTGCTCTGGTTCGCCAGAAGCGGCTTAGTCATGCTGGCCACATGACCCGGAAGCTGTATGCCGGCTGCCTCGGCCAGTAAAGCGAGATAAGCGCCGCAACCCCAGAGTCGTCCGCGACTGGACCTAATGGTCAGGGGTCCCTTTACCTTAGCAGGCTATTACTATGTTCTTATCTACCATCTTTTTTCCCCTGTTGACCAGGAACCAAGGAACTTGCGTTTTCCCCCTAAGGATAGCGGCAGACCTGGGTACTTCATTCCTTGCATATTCCTTCTTCCCTTTCTTATTTGTAACCTGAAATCTATATAGCACCTAAAAAAATTTTTTAAAGCCTCATTTGGATGTTTGCTTTCCTTCTGCTATATTTCATCTTGCACCTGTGCCCAGATGCAAAATCCATGGTTTGCATACTTCCCCCTTGCTTTGTTTGCCATTGAGCCTGGTGAAGAGAAGTCAAAAATTTGCAAGCTGTTTTATGATATTTTGGTTGGACTAATAATAAAGATGTTGTCCAAATATGATTTTTTTAATCTTACACATATTTTCAGTTCTTCTGAAATTGATAGGGCTTATTCCCAAGGAAATCTGCACCAGATTATAGCATAGATTATAGCATATAATCATAATTCTATGCAAATTTACCTGTGAGTAAGTCCTATTAAACATGGTGAAGCTTACTTCTGAGCAAATATGTATAGAATGGTGCCATAAATGACTGAACAATGCTCTACTGAAACTTGTCATAATGCAAGGATAACACTACAGAAAAGCTTGCAAATCCTGAGCAGAATGTGGCAGCTGCTACAAACTGAACTGCTACACTGCAGTGGTTTAGGACAGTGAAAAAGAACATTGCATCTAATTGAAACTGCAGGAGAAATGTAGGGAGGCAGAATGTAATTACACAAATTGGAATTTGTCCAGGACACCAGGGTTAACATGCCTACTCCTTTTTTAAAAGATGGAAAGAGAGAAAGAAAATGTTTTGATGCTTGTTGATATATTTCACCCACACAGCGTCTCTTAAGCCAGTTGCAAATAATAGGCAACGTGAAGAGAGGAGAGCCTTGAAATTTTCCTTTCTAAGGAAATACTGCTCCCTGAAATGTTCTTCATTAAGGACGGGCTTGGCGTAACACCCTCTTTCCTCCAGGTTGCAAAGTGATTAATAAAAAGTTAAGGATGTGGAGGTGCTGCAAATGTGTATAGCCAGTTTAAAACCCAGCAAACTGTCGTCAATGTTAATGTGGCAAAAATCAAAATTCCTCATTGGCCGTGCAGCTCAATAAGTTATACCGGGATTTTGTGAGGATTAAATTGTATACATCTCATGTATATTGATTGATCCTCAAAGAAAGGACAGAATTATGTGCATTGATGATACTTACTGAAATTGTGAGGTTTATTTTTATCTATTTGCTTTCCAAAATTCATGTTGGATAGAGGATGTATTTTTCTATGCAGCTGTTCTAATGAGTGTCTATTCCTTGTGGATTTCCTCACGTCCATATTAGTTTGATGAGGTGGATAAAGCACAATCCTTACATTAGTGTGTGTGTGTGTGTGTGTGTGTGTGTGTGTGTGCTTCAAGTCTTTCGTAGGTAGGATTGAATCACATATGGTTAAATTTAAAGCCATCTATAACTGGCTTGTAATTCATAAGCATCCCACATGGATTTGGGCCTGTATACGTTCACATGAAGGGGATGCAGGTGGCTCTGTGGTCTAAACCACTGAACCTCTTGGACTTACCAGTCAGAAGGTCGGTGGTTCGAATCCCCACGACGGGGTGAGTTCCCATTGCTCAGTCCCAGCTCTTGCCAACCCAGCAGTCCGAAAGCACGCCAAAAAGTGCAAGAAGATAAATAGGTACCACTCCAGTGGGAAGATAAACAGCATTTCTGTGCGCTGCTCTGGTTTCGCCAGAAGCGGCTTAGTCATGCTGGCCACATGACCCAGAAAAACTGTCTGCGGACAAATCCCGGCTCCCTCAGCCTGTAAAGCGAGATGAGTGCCGCAATCCGAGTCATCTGTGACTGGACTTAACTGTCAGGGGTCCTTTACCTTTACCTTTTTTATGTTCACATGAGGCTTCATGATGTGCAGCAGAACACAGGCCAGAGATGGAAAGCCCAAAAGGGACATCTATGCTGCTATGTGGTTCAGTGGTGACTTCAAGTCAAAGACTGAGTTCTAATTCATTGCTTCTTAGGCCACTGTGGTGGAGCTGGCTATCCGCCCCCCCAAGAAAAATATACCTCGTGGAATAATAATACTTCAAGACATAATATTGTTTTCCAGGACAGGGTTCTCTTGGCTCCCTGGATGGAGGATGTAAAGGAGCATGTGAGTGTGTGGAGAGAGAGAAAAATGCATTCATTGCTTCACTTGCTTTTGTTTCAGGCCCCTCCCATCACTGGCATGGGGTTCCTGGAAGATAACCCAAAAGTCTCTGGTCTTGGGGGGGGGGGAGAGATTCCCCTGCCTCTGTTCTGCTCAGTGATATTCGTCTTTGGCTTCCTTCAGGCTTCACATGCTTCTCTGAGCCATGTCTTCAGTTCCTCAATGCCCATAAACTTCCTGCTTTTTCTTCAGCTGAACCAGAGCCACACACACAATCTACTCCTTGGCCAGAGCCAAGGGGAGTCGTGGCATCTGACAGAACAATTACCTTAGTGTGATGTTGAGTTCCTCCTAGTATCCCCACAGCTCCCAGCAAAAAGTCACAACACTTTACAGACATTTAACCATTTACCAGTGCTGTTTTTCTAGACAAAGAGGTGCTGGAACACACCATGAACTTATCTCTTGTTCTCTTAGATGGGCAATGATGCTCACCTGAGACGTGTTGGAGCTGAGCTATGGTGAGCTCTGGCTGAAAAAAGTGCTTTAAACATTTAAAAAACAAATTTTTACCTCAGAAACAAAATGGTTTCTCTACACACACATAGTGGAAAGTGACTGAACAAAGTGTGGCAATTTCATACTAAGCCCATTGTCTCAAAATGCCCTTCATGGAAGTCTCAACCAAATTCCCCAGCAACATTAAAAACAGATCCCTAATTTTGATTATAACGCGACTTCAATAACAGAGTGTGCATGTTTGTAAGATCGGTTGAGCACCCAATCACTAACGCCTGGGAAATCAAACTGCTTTACATCTTGTAAAAGCAGTTGAAGTTCCACATGTGCTTTGTTTAAGAAGAGGACACTAAGTTCACAGAAAGGACAAGCACAAAACAAAACAAAAACTCTTAGGGGTAAACTAGAGAAAAGAAATTCCCCTCCAGCAGATTCATAGAGATAACTGTGTTATCAGTAGAGATGTGCCTTCCCTAATGCTGAACGTTACATGACTTGCACTGACAAGATTAGCCCCAGTTGAAATGAGAAAGAAATAAAAAGCAACGACTGCTTTCCCACCCATGCAATTTGTTGAAGGAGCAACGAAGTAATGTGCTAATGTAAATAAAACGGACTGATTGTATTGCATGT